ACCACAACCAGGAGTGAGTGGACCCCTCTGCTTGGTCCCTACCCACTCGCAGGACATGGGCAAGTCCGAGTGCCCTGCCCAGGCCTCCCCCTTCCCTGATGGCCAGCCTGCACTGCTCTGCGGAGGAGGGGAAGGGAGAGGAGACTTCTCGGGGTGCTGCAGACACTGCTGTGAAGGAGAGAGCTCTGGGACAGCAGCCTGGCTGGTCTGCGCCCACAGTCAGGGTGCAGCAACTGGCTGGGGACAGTGGCCGGGGACTCTGCAGGGCGGGTGGGGCCGCAGGCTCATCCTGACACCAGCCTCAGGCAGACACCAAACGGGACAGGACCCTGCCTCTCCACAGTCATGCTCCACACTCAGAACAGGTCCCGGAGTGGACAGGCCTGAGTTACACCCCAAACACTCAGAAATCACCGCCGGGGCTGCGGTGACTTCCACACATCAGGGGCTTGGGCCAGAAATTATTTTTAGTGACAGGAAAGCGAAGAGGCATGTTTGCACAGCTGAGCCAGTGGCCAGGAGGTCCTGCCACACAGGACTGACCTCTTAACCTCTCCTGGGAGAAGATGCCACCAGCCTTTCAGCCGCACACGCCAGGCTCACCATGCCTCACGGCCACAGGTTAGGGTGTCATCTGCCATCGCGGCGGGGTCCAGCCCAGTGCCAGCCATGAGTCCCCGGTCAGGGCAGCTGCATCCTGCGGTCAGCACCGAGGCTCAGGCCCCCTGACTGGCACCAGCTCTGTGCTCCGCTGGGCAAAGGCAGGGAGGGAGCCCTGCTGTGGGGGCAGCAGAGTTGCTAAAGGTCAGCTGCTGCTGAGCAGAGGCCCCGAAGGATGTGTCTGGCCAGCATGTCCGGGCTGAGTCAGCCGGGGGCTCAAGCGCAAAGCTCTGAAATGTCTGGTGTCTTCCTACCCCAAGCTTGGGGTCAACACAGAGGGGCAGGGAGGCCTCGGGGACGATGTCCTACGCTGGGCAATGGCCCCGAGAGGGGGCAGACCTGCTGGCCCATCCGGCACCCTCCCCAGGGCCCAGCAGAGGTCCGCCCTTGTCCTTGATTTCCCAGCAGCCAGCGTGCCACGGAGCAGGGGGGAGTCCTGTGTGGGGTGCTGCTGCGGACCCTCCAGTCTAATGGGGTGCCCAGGAGCCTGGGGCCACACCAGGGAGGCGCTCCGCACCCCGCCCCTGGGTTCGAAGGCAAACACCGGTGAGACGTCAGGGCTCATCGGAGGGGAGCCGGACCCAAGGGAGGCCGAGGGGCAGGAGGGAGACGCTTCCCTCCGGGCTGCCCAAGTGCCACCGAGAACATGTCCTGTGGTCCCGGGACAGCGTGTCTGGACCCCTGAGGAGTGGCCCCGGCAGGCCGCGACCCCGACCCATTCCCAGGGAAGGACAGACACGCCGCCTCGGGTCACTGTCCCTCCCAGCCAGTCTGTCCCAGGCCTCGGGAGAGCTTGTTATCGGAACGAAGGAGATAAATGGCTTTTACGGTGCAAAGTGCTGGGGCTTCAGCACCCTTCTCGGGGTTGAGCGGGCGCCACCCGCCCGTCCCAGGCGGGCGGGACCCTCCAACGCGGGGCGTGGGAGGCGGGACGGGCTCCCGCTCCCCGCGGAGACCGAGGGTGCGGCCGGAGGCCCCTAGATCCCTCTCGGGGGCGGGTCTGGGAGCCCCTCGCACACGAGAAACTCCCTG